GAAGACGACACAAAAGAAGAGAAAGACATTCCAAGGTTCACAGACTGGAAGAATCAATATTGTTAAAATGTCCTATTACTCAAAGGGATCTATAGATTCAATGCAATCCCGGTCAAAATACCAATGACATTCTTTACATAAATAGAAAAAACAATCCTAAAATTTACATGGAACCACAAAAACCCCAGAATAGCCAAAGGTATTCTGAGCAAAAAGAACAAAACTGGAAGAATCACATTACCTGACTTCAAATCATACTACAGAACTATGGTAATGAAAACGGCATGGCACTGACATAAAAACAAACACACAGACCAGTGGAACAGAACAGTGAACCCAGAAATAAATCCACACATCTCATTTTTGACAAACGCACCAAGAACATACATTGGGGAAAGAATAGCCTCCTCAATAAATGGTGCTGGGAAAACTGGATATCCATGTGCAGAAAAATGAAACTAGACCTCCATCTCTTGCTATATACAAAAATCAAACTGGATTAAAGACTTAAGTCTAAGCCTAAAGTATGACACTACTAACAGAAAACATTGGGGAAGCTCCGACACTGGACTGGGCAAAGATTTCTTGAGTACTAGTCCCCCACAAGCACAGACAACCAAAGCAAAAATAAACAAATAGGATCACATCAAGTTAAAAAACTTCTACACAGCAAAGGAAACAATCAACAACATGAAGAGACAATACACAGAATGGGAAAAAATATCTGCAAACTATCTATCTGATAAGATGGATAATAACCAGAATATATAAGGAGATCAGACAACTCTCTAAGAAAAAAATCTAATAATCTCATTAAAAAATAAGCAAAAGCTTCAAACAGACTTTTCTCAAAACAAGAGGCATAAATGGCAAACAGGTATATGAAAAGGTGCTCAGCTGGATGCGGTGGCTCACGCCTGTAATCCCAGCACTTTGGGAGGCCGAGGCACATGGATCACGAGGTCAAGAGTTTGAGACCAGCTGGCCAAGATGGTGAAACCCTGTCTCTACTAAAAATACAAAAATTAGCCAAGGGTGGTGGCACACGCCTGTAATCCCAGCTACTCGGGAGGCTGAGGCAGGAGAATTGCTTGAAACAGTGAGGCGAAGGTTGCAGTGAGCTGAGATCGCACCACTGCACTCCAGCCTGGGCAACGAGAGCGAAACTCTGTCTTAAAAAAAAAAAAAAAAAGAAAAGAAAAAAAGAAAAGGTTTTCAACATCATTGATCATCAAAGAAATGCAAATCAAAACTATAATGAGATATCATGTCACGCCAGATAAAATGGCTTTTATCCAAAAACAGGAAGTAACAAATGCTGGCGAGGATGTGGAGTAAAAGGTACCGCTGTATACTGTTGGTGGGGAGGTAAATTAGTACAAACACTGGCGAACAATTTGGAGGTTTTGTAAAAAACTAAAAATAGAGTTACCAAATAATTCAGCAATCTCACTGCTGGGTATATACTCCAAAGAAAGGAAATCAGTATACTGCAGAGATTATCTCCACTTTCATGTTTGTTGCAGCACTGTTCACAATAGCCAAGATTTGGAAACAACTTAAGTGTCCATCAACAGGTGAAGAAAGAACATGTGGTACATATACATAATGGAGTACTATTTGACCATAAAAAAGAATGAGATCCTGTCATTTGCAACAACATGGATCAAACTGGAGATCATATGTTAGGTGAAATAAGCCAGGCACAGAAAGACAAATTTCACATGCTCTCATTTATTTGTGGGAGCTAAAAATTAAAAACGATTGAACTCATGAAGATAGAGAGTAGAAGGATGGTTACTAGAGGCTGGGAAGAGCAGTGGGGCGGGGAGAATGGGGATAGTTAGCAGGTACAAAAAATAGATGAATTAGACCTAGTATTTGCTAGCATAATGGGGTGACTATAATCAAAATAATTATATCTTTTTAAATAAATAAGAGAACATAATTATATTGTTTCTAACATAAAAGATAAATGCTTGAGGTGATGAATACCCTATTTACCCTGATGTGATCATTATGCATTGCATGCCTGTATCAAAATATCTCATGTAACCCATAAATATATACACCTACCATATATCCACAAAAATTAAAAATAAAAGATAAAAAACAAATAAAAGGCAAGGATGTATGTCCTCACCACTTCTATTCAGCACTGCACTAGTTGTTGTAAACACAGCAATTAGGCAAGAAAAGAAATAAAAGGCATTGAGATTATATAGGAAAAAGTAAAACTATCTCTATTTGCAGAAGCCACAAAAAATTAGGGTTAATGAACAGTTCAGGAAAGTGTCCAGATCAATATACAAAAATCAGTTTTATGTCTATAACAGCAATGAACAATCAAAAAATAAAATTAACAACCCAGTTCCATTGAAAAAAGCATGAAAAAGAGTAAAATATTTGGAAATAAACGTAACAAAAAAGTGTAAGACTTGTATAACTGAAAACTACAAGACATCATGGAAAGAAATTAAAGACCTAAATAAATGGAAAGACATCTTGTGTTCATGGATCATGGACAGGAAGACTTAATACTGTTAAGATGACAATACTACCCAAAGTAACCTACAGATTTAATACAATCCCTATGAAAATTCCATCTACCATTTTTGCAGAAATAAGCAAGATGATCATAAATTCGTACGGAAATGCAAGAGACCCAGAATAGAGAAAACGATCCTGAAAAAGAAGAACAAAGAGGGCTCAAACTTCCTGATTTCAAAACTTACAACAAAGCTACAGTAATCAAGACTGTGTATTTCACATAAGGACAGGCATATACATTAGTGGAATGGAATTGAGAGTCCAGAAATGAACCCATACATCTAAAGTCAACTACTTCTTAAAAATGAGATGGTGTCTTACTGTTTCCCAGGCTGGACTCAAATTCCTCGGTTCAAGCAATCCTCCTGCCTCAGACTCCTGGGCAGCTGGTACTACAGATGCATGCCTGGCTCTATAATCAAATAATTTCTGACAAGGGTGCCAAGACTACTCAATGGGGTGTCAAGAAAATTCAATGGGGAAAGAGTAGTCTTTTTAACAAACAATGTTTGGATAAATGGATATCCGTACGTAGGAGAATGAATATGAACTTGTATATCATATCATGTATAAACTTTTACTTAAAATGGAAAGAGACCCAAATCTAAGAGCTAAAACAGTAAAATTCTTACAAGAAAACACACTGTAACTCTTTGTGACTTTGGATTAGGGAATGGTTTCTCAGATGTGACACCTAAGGTACAAGCAACCAAAGACAAAGCAGAAAAAAACACATAAATTGGACTTCGTAAAAATTTAAAATTTTTGTGTTTCAGGAGAGTATAAAGAAAGTTAACAGAAAACCCACAGAATGGGAGAAATTTGCAAATCACATATCCAAGAAGCATGTAATATCTAGCATATATAAAGAACTCTTACAAATCAAGAAAAAAGATAAAAAATCCAATTCAAAAATGAACCAAGGATTTGAATTGACATTTCTCCAAAGATGATATACAGTTAGTAAGTGAGCATGTTGAGCACATGAAAGATAATCAACATTATTAGTTATTAATAAATTACAAATGAAAATCACAAGGACATTCCACCTCACACCTACTAGGATGACTATCGTCAAAGAGAGGGACAATAACAACTGTTGTGAAGGATGTGGAGAAATTGGACCTTTACACATCGCTGGTACAAAGGTTAAATGGTAATATCCAATTTGGTAGTTCTACAAAAAGCTGAACTTAAGAGTTACCACCATACAACTCAGTAATTTCACTCATATGCATACACCCAAGAGAACTGAAAACATATGTTCACACAAAAACTTTTCCACAGATATTCATAGCAGCATTATTCACTATAGCCCCAATGTGGAAACAACCTCCATGTCTACAAATGGATGAACAGATAGACAAAACGTAGCATTCATACAATGGAATATTACTCAGCCATAAGAAAGGATGAAGTACTGATACAGTTGTCCCTCCGTATCTGTGGAAGATTGCTTCCAGGACCTCCTGTGGCTATCAAAATCCACATACACTCAAGTCCCTTAGAGAAAACAGTGTAGTATTTGCATACAATCTACACACATACTCCTTATATATTAAATAATCTCTAGATTACTTACAATGCTTGATACAAGGTAAATGCTGTGTAAATAGTTGTCATACTGTGTTGTTTAGGGGAATAAGATTAAAAAGTGTGCACATGTTCAGAGCAGACACAATCATCCTCTTTTTTTTTTTTTTTTTGAGAAGGGGTCTCACTCTGTCACCCAGGCTGGAGTGTAGTGGCCGATCTTAGCTCACTGCAACCTCTGCCCCCCACCCAGGCTCAAGCAGTCCTTCCACCTCAGCCTCCTGAATAGCAGGGACTACAGGTGCATGCCACCACACCTGGCTAATTTTTATATTTCTGGTAGAGATAGGGTTTTGTCATGTTTTCCAGGCTGGTCTTGAACTTCTGGGCTCAAGTGATCTGCCTGCCTTGGCCTCCCAAAGTGCTGGGATTAGAAGCATGAGCCACCGCACTCTGTCTTTTCTGAATGTTTTTGATCCTCAGTTGGTTGAATCCATGGATGTGGAACCCACAGGTATGGAGGGCCAACTGTACATGCTACAACATAGATAAATCTTGAAAATACACAAGTGAAAGAAGTCAGTCATAAAAGTTCATATATTTTCTGATTCCATTTATATAAAGTGTCTAGAACAGGCAAATCAATAGAGGCAGAAAGTAAACTATGGGTTGCCAGGGCCTGGAGGAGTGACTGCTAATAGGTATGGTGCTTCTTTTTCAGGTGACAAAAATTTTCTAAATTTAGATGGTGGTGTTGGTTATAAAGTTTTGTGAAAATACAAAAAACCACTTACTGAATACTTTAAAAGAATGAATTTACTTTATGGTATGTGAATTATATCTCAATAAAATTGTTTATTTTTTTAAAAAAGAAGCAGATAGCACACACAAGTACACCTTTCTAATTTAAAACTTACATTTTCTGTGAGGGTCATGTTTTCTTTGCTGATATTTAACACTGTTGTCATTAAAGCCAGATTTATGATGTTGGTTTACTTGGCTTATTTCTTGAGGTAGCACTGCACCCTGAAAATTAAAATTCTTATAAATTAAACAAAATATTAATATTATAACTACTTATTATCTTCAACTTTTAATAATTACATTATTTTTATAAATTATATAGTTCCTTAGAAAAAAACTTAATATAGAAAAGTATACAGACTTCGAAAGCCACTTGAACTCTACCACCAGACTCATTAACATAATGATCATCATTCTATTTTTTCTATGCATTCGTTTGCAAGATATAAAGAAAACAATCATTTTATAAAGATGCTACTTTTAAAATTTGAGACAGATTCTTGCTCTGTTACCAAGGCTGGAGTGCAGTGGCGCAATCTCGGCTCACTGCAACCTCTGCCTCCCAGGTTCATGTGATTCTCATGGCTCAGCCTTCTGAGTACCTGGGACTACAGGTGAGTACAATCATGCCTGGCTAGTTTTTGTAGTTTTAGTAGAGACGGGGTTTCACCATGTTGGTCAGGGTGGTCTCAAACTCCTGGCCTTAAGCAATTCTCCCAACTTGGCCTCCCAAAGTGCTGGGATTACTGGCATGAGCCACCGCACCCAGACAAAAATGCTCCTTTCAATAAAATAATTAAATCTAATTTTGCTTGATGTTAACAAATGCAGAAACCAAACAAAATACTAAACTTTAGGTAAATGTTTCTTCACAACAGAAATATCAGTCTCTAAAGATCCCCCTAGATTTGCTTCAAAATAATCCCATCCAATGGGTAGGTGGAGGTGGGAAATGAGCAAGGGTTATAGAAGAAATAGTACTGGACTAGAGCAAGGTAGGGAATGAGTACTGGTGGGTTCATTCATTCTATTTACTTGATATCATTATGGTTAAACTTTTCCATCAAAAATTTTAAAAAGGTTATCATTTCTGGCTCTATATTATGAAAATTGAGGATGTCAGCCCACTTACATTCCCTTCCATGTTAATTTTATTAATCCCATGTTTTATTGGGATTAATAACAATCCCAATACCTGATTTTTATTAATATTTATATTGTCGAGGTTTTTAAATGATGGAAGACTTCACTACTAGATAGCCAGACTGATTATAAAGTTACAGTAATTGAGACAGTTCATAAATAGACAGAATTAGCAAAATGGCATAAGTTTCATATGAAGATTCTATCAGATCCTTTCATTTTTGCATAGGCCTGAATGCAAAAAGAGACAGACAATTTCCCACAGTTGAAGCAGCAAGAAGCAGCAAAAGTGGAGGCTAGAGAAGGTCAATACAAATGAATTATTTCACAGTTTTGCTTTTGGTAGGCCCTATTTACTTTCTTCTCAGCACAGACAAATGGACACTGGGTACGGAGACACAACATGTCCTCGCTGGTAGTGGGCAAGCTCCAAAATAGTTGTGATATGCATGGGAGTACCAAGGAAGATCTAATGAGGTCACATGGATAGAAACACTCAAGGCTCTTCAGTTTTTAAAAAATCTATTTTTTATTTTTTTGTAGAGACAGGGATCTTATTATGTTGCCCAGGCTGGTGTCAAACTCCTGGGCTTAAGTGTTCCTGCTGCCTTGGCCTCCCAAAGTGCTGGGATTACACGCATGAACCACTGTGCCCAGCCCAAGGTTCTTCAGTTTTGTTTTTTGTTTTTGAGACAGGGTATTTGCTCTGTCACTCAGGCTGCAGTGCAGTGGCATGGTCTTGGCTCACTGCAACCTTCGACTTCTGGGCTCAAGCAATCCTTCTGCCTCAGTCTCCTGAGTAGCTGGGGCTATGGGCATGTGCCACCATGTCTGGCTAATTTTCGTATTGTTTTGTAGAGATGGGATTTTGCCATGTTGCCCAGGTTGGTCTCGATCTCCTGGGCTCCACGGACCCACCCACGTTGGCCTTCCAAAGTACTGGGATTACAGGTGTGAGCCACTGCAACTGCCCAGCTCTTCAGTTATTAAGAGTGAAAATGGCATGAGATTTCTATCATCATGGCACAATGGCTGGTGGGACTTTGGCCTACAGCAGTACATTATAGGTGATTTTGACTCTAAGGAGAGGAATTAGAACATTAGGATAGAACAAGTATTGTCTGAGTGTCTATTATGTGCCAGGTATGGTAAATGAACTGTGTACCCATTATTTTAATGTCATTATAGTAATGCTACTGTCATAATAATGCTGTTATTATTTTGATTTTATTTTATAGACAAGTATAAATGAGGCTCAAACTGATAAAGCAATTTATCACAGATCTATGTAACGGGAGAGCTGACATTTGAGGTCTAACTCCAAAATCCATGTTCACAGTACTACTTCAGAGAAAAGGTAAGCCATATGTTTAATCAGAAAGCAAATACTTGGGTGTAGTTCTTTAGGGTGTTCTGTTTGGTATCTATATAAAGGTATTTGTACACATTGCCATGTTTTGCCAATCAAAGCTTGAATATTTTTTATTACAGTGAGTTCTCTTGAATTTGCTCATCAGGTTAGGCTGCTTATTAATGTATATGTGTTATATTTTGGCTCTCATAATTCTTAGGACATTTAAGAGATAAAACATGAGAGTGTTCAGCTGAAATAAACAATGAAATAGCACCCAGTAAGACAGGCTGCATGCAGGAGATAATGAAAAAATATAACATCAAATGATTCTCAAGGAAATAGCAGATTTTGACTGAGACCTAGAGGGTTATTTGTAGTGAGAGAAAAAAATGGGCATTCTAAGTGGAAGGAACAGAAAGAACACATAACCCCAAAAGGGAATCATCTGTGGGAAAGGGAAAGTAAAGAGACCAGTCTGACAAGAACAGACTATTATGTCCAAACGGTTGGATATACATCATATAATTAGGTGGGGTTAGATTATAGAAGGCCTTAGACATTAGTTTGAGGAGTTGAGGCAGGATTCCAACCCTGGAGCTGTATATATTCTAGAGTACGACAGCAATACTATTTTGTGGCTAGAAAAGACCTTAGAGGTCATCTAAGTGAACTTCATTGTATACATGAGGACACAGAAGCCTAGGGAAATAAGCCTCTCTCTGAGGAGATAGAGTATTCCAGACACATTCAAAGGCCCTGTTGTGGGAATCATCCCTGGCATACACAAGGAAGAGGAAGAAGACCATTATGGCTGTAGCAAAAAGGTGAGTTAGGCCAGGCGCGGTGGCTCAAGCCTGTAATCCCAGCACTTTGGGAGGCCGAGACAGGTGGATCACGAGGTCAGGAGATCGAGACCATCCTGGCTAACACGGTGAAACCCCATCTCTACTAAAAAATACAAAAAAAAAAACTAGCCGGGCGAGGTGGCGGGCACCTGTAGTCCCAGCTACTCGGGAGGCTGAGGCAGGAGAATGGCATAAACCCGGGAGGCGGAGCTTGCAGTGAGCTGAGATCCGGCCACTGCACCCCAGCCTGGGCGACAGAGCGAGACTCCGTCTCAAAAAAAAAAAAAAAAAAGGTGAGTTATAGAAAATGTGATTAGAGAGGTGACACATCAATATTGTATGGGACATTCCAGGCCATTATATAAAAACAATGGCTTTTACTCACTGAAATGGGGAATCAGTGGAGGGTTTTGAGCTGCAGAAGGACATGATCTCTGACTTATATTTTAATATCATCACTCTGCCTGCTATCTTGAGAACAGACTGTAGAGGAGCCAGGATGGAAACAGATTACTAGACTACTGCAACCATCAAGGTGAGAGTTGGTATGGATTTGGAGTAGGGTAGTAGGAGCCTGTGAGAAATGGTCCAATTCTAGACATATTTGGAAGAGATTTACAGATGATAATGAATTGGATATGAGGGTAAAAGAGAAAAAAAGGAGTAAAGGATGTGGCTCTCAAGGTCTGAGTGAAAGGAGGGAGTGGCTATTAACTGAGATGGGAATGACATCAGGTAACCTAAGTTTGTGAGGGAAGAACGAGAGTTCAATTTTGGATATGGTAGGTTTGAGATGTATATTAAGTATCCAAGTGGAGACACAGAGTTGGACTTTTGAGTGGTGATGAAGGGTTGAACATTGAGTCTAAAGATCATAAAGGACTTCCAAGCTGGAGAGAGAAGTTTGGGAGTCACGATGTATGTGTTTTTGTAGGTATATATGTTTGTGTGTGTATCTATATCTATCTTATCTAAATCTATTTTTTTCTCTATCATCTATCTCTCTATAATTATCTATCAATCTATCTATCTATCAATCTATCTATCAATCTATCTATCTATCCATCCATCCATCTATCTATCTATTTAAGGAAATGGGTATAGATAGAGAAAAAAATCCAATAATTTAGCCCTAGAGGATTCCATCTTGAAAGAGCCCGAGAGATTAGGTAAAACTGACAAAGAAGACTGAGAAACAACAGCCAATGAGACAGGAAGAAAAACAGGGAAGGGTGGTATTCCAATGACAAGTGAAGAATGGATGACAAGGAGAACACAGGGATCAACTGTATGCAATGCTGCTGATGGCTCAATTCAGATGGAAACTCAGACTTGATCACATGGTTTTGTACACGAAGGTCCTTGGGAACCTTGAAAGGGCAGTTTTAGTAAAGTGATGGGAATGAAAGACTGAGTAGAGTGGGTTTAAGAGGGAAAGGGAGACAGAGGCACCAGTATAGACAATTTTTTCAAGGAGTTTTGTTCTAAAAGGAAGCACTACTCTAAGTACCTTCTTGCCTTTATCTATTTGTTCAACTTTTTAATTAACTCCTGCTCTTCCAATCTTTTACTGAGGACTGTTCCTCCAAATTCAACAACAGTTTTCTTTTCATTTTTTGCCTTACTGCTTGACTAATGACTTTGACTGTTACCTCTCTGCTAAGTATTACTAATCTATATCTCTGATTTGAACCTCAGTCAAGATTTAATCCAGTATCTGCAACTTTCTAGAACAGATATTATAGCTGGATACTCCACCATCACCTCAACCTCAAGGTGTCCCATCTTAGACAAGGCAGCATGAAAGAAGAAGAAAATTTTTTTTTAAGTAAAAAAAAGAAAAAAAGGAAAAGTCCCAGATTTGGCCTCACCTAAAGTCACTTCTCTTACCCTTATTTCTAACACCACCATTCCTCAGGCATATAATCTAAAATGCTTAGAGTCAAAAATTTTTGCTTTCTAACATGATTTTTCCAATGATATTATAAATCATTCTATCATTCTACTCCTTTTCAGTTCCTGCAACTGGTCTTTAGATTGTCATTCTTGGCCTAAATTAACTTTCTAACTACGATTCTCGTTTCCTATCTTTTTCGCGTATAGTCCTTCTTACATACTGCAGACTGATGAATCTTTCTTAAAGACCCTTTCATCTTTTTTGACCCCAAGGCAAAATTGGGCAAAATATCTCTTGGGTTTGAACCCAGTTTACACCCTGAAGCAGTGTGGTGCAGTAAGTACAGTACCGGACTCGGAATCAGGAAATTAGGTTTTGTGATTCAAATAGTTTAAAACAAAATAATTTATGGATAACCTAAAGAAAGCTTATAATAGCACATTGCCTGAGGAGACCTATGTATCTTGTCACCCTAATATTTTTCTTTACTGTTTAGACTGAGTTATGACATATGCACTAATTTTTTATGTTTATTTTACTATTTATATTTATTTTGCCATTTATGTTTATATTTCCTTTGTAATTTTCTCTTTTATCTCTGATAATGCCACCATTACTGCAGGATACTAGAATAAATGAGGGTCTGAAGGTACAGGCTACTGGTTTATAAACTTCAACATTCCTTTTTTTTTTTTCTGAGATGGAGTCTTGTTCTGTCATCCAGGCTGGAGTGCAGTGGCACAATCTCGACTCACTGCAACTTCCACCTCCTGGGTTCAAGTGATTCTCTTGCCTCAGCCTTCTGAGTAGCTGGGACTACACGTGTGCCACCACACCTGACTGATTTTTTGTATTTTTAGTAGAGATGGGGTTTCACCATGTTGGTCAGGCTGGTTTTGAACTCCTGACCTCAAGTAATCCTCCAGCCTTGGCCTCCCAAAGTGCTGGGATTACAGGCGTGAGCTACCACGCCTCACCGAACATTCCTTTTTGATCTAAGCTGAGAAGATAGGTAACTAGCAAAACATGTAGTAGGAATTTATTCCTTTCCTCTTCCTTTCTTTGTCTGAGTCTCTACTCTTTTAGCAGCACTTTTTTCCTCTTCTTAATCTCCACCAAGGAATGCTTATTTGTTCATTCATATTTAAGATAACCAACTACCAGCATAAAGTGACATGTTCAAGTGGAAAAAAATAAGTTGTTAAATGCGATAAGGGCCTTTGTTAAATTTAAAATATAGTTACTATGACTTTGTAAATAACTAAAAAAAACTAAAGCTGATTTAAAACAAAAATTATCTATACTCTCGACTCATTGGTCCAGAAACTTTTACAGGTCTGAAAATAATTATGAAAATTCATAATCACATGGAACCAGAAAACAGCCCAATAGCCAAGGCAATCTTAAGCAAAAAGAACAATGTTGGAGACATCACATTACCTGACTTCATGTTATACTGTCAGTTTATATTACCATGTATCTGCCATGTAACAAAAGTAGCATGGTACTGGTACAAAAACAGACACACAGACCAATGGAACAGAATAGAGAACACAGAAATAAAATGGCACACTTACAACCCCCTGATTTTTGACAAAGTCAACGAAAACAAGCAATGGGGTGAGGACTCCCTATACATGATGCTGGGATAGTTGGCTAGCCATATGCAGAAGAATGAAACTGGACCCTTACCTTTAAGCATATACAAAAATCAACTCAAGATGGATTAAAGACTTACAACATAAGACCTCAAACTGTAAGAATCCTAGAAGAAAATCCAGGAAATACCACTTGGAGTGTAAGCCTTGAGAAAGAATGCATGACTAAGTCCTCAAAAGCAATCACAACAAAAACAAAAATTTACAATGGGACCTAATTAAACTAGAGTTTCTGCTCACAAAAAAAACTATCAACAGAGTAAACACACAACTACAGAATGGGAGAAAATATTCGCATACTGTGCATCTGACAAAGGTCTAATATCAAGAATCTATAAGGAACTTAATTCAACAAGCAAAAAACAAATAATGCCATTTAAAAATGGGCACAAGATGCTTGCTTCAGCAGCACATATACTAAAATTGGAACGGTACAGAGAAGATTAGCAAAATCTTAAGAAAATTTATATTTTAATTAAAAAATTATTTTTTTTTAAAATGGGGAAAAGACATGAATAGACACTTTGCAAAAGACATATAAGTGGCCAAGAAAAATATGAAAAAAAAGTTCAACATCACTAATCATCAGAGAAATGCAAATCAAAACTGCAAGATGATACCATCTCACACCAGTCAGAATGGCTGTCAAAAAATAACAGATGCTGGTGAGGTTGTAGAAAAAAGGGAATGCTTATAAACTCTTGGTGGGAATGTAAATTAGTTCAGCCACTGTAAAAAGCAGTTTGGAGATTTCTCAAAGAACTTAAAACAGAACTACCATTCGACCCAGTAATCACACTGTTGGGTACATACCCCAGGGAAAATAAACCATTCTTCCAAAAAGACACATACCCACATATATTAATTGCATTTGCTATTCACAATAGCAAAGACATGGAATCAACCTAAGTGCTTATCAGTGGTGGATAAGATTGATTCATTGATTGACTGATTTAGAGACTAAGTGTTAGTTACTCTGTTGCTCAGGCTGGAGTGAAATGGGGTGATCTCGGCTCACTGCAACCTCTGGCCTCCCAAGTTCAAGCAACTCTTTTGCCTCACCATCACGAGTAGCTGGCTAATTTTTGTATTTTCAGTAGAGATGGGGTTTCACCATATTGGCCAGGCTGGTCTCAAACTCCTGACCTCCAGTGATCCACCCATCTCAGCCTCTCAAGGTGCTGGGATTACAGGCGTGAGCCACAGTGCCCAGCCAGATTTTTTAAAATGTGGTATATATACACCACGGAATATACACTATGGAATACTATGCAGTCATAAAAAAGAATGAAATAATGTCCTTTGCAGCAACATAGGTGGAACTGAAGGCCATTATGCTAAGTGAATGAACACAGGAACAGAAAACCAAATACTATATGGTTCTCACTTATAAGTGGGAGCTAAGCATTGGATACATATGGTCATAAAGATGGGAATAACAGACACTGGGGGTTACTAGATGGGGGAGACAGGGAGGAGGAGGGAAGGGCGGAAAAACCACCTATTGGGTACTATGCTCACTGCCTGGGTGACAGGATCATTTGTACCCTAAACTTCAGTGTCACACAGCATATTCATGTAACAAACCTGTACATGTATCTCCTGAACCTAAAATAATAAAGTTGAAATTATTTAAAAAAAAAAAAGAACATTCATGATCAAAATTATGAGATTTCACAGAAAAATAATCATTGTAGTCTTAAAAGAAAAATATAAAAAAAATTTTCTTTAAATTAGTTGTCCATCAAAACAAGGAATACTAACCTTCTCTTGTACAGCTGGCTGAAAGTGTTGCATCTTTCCAGATCCCTGTAAGGACTGCCAAATGTTGCAGAATTCATCATCATCTTTAGTAGATACCTAGCAAAGTACAAACAATTTCTTAAGAAAATAGGAAGAAATAAAAATGCATATTAAAAATCAAACAATTTATTTATTAATGTTATTCAGTGGTAGATGGGATATTAAACTAACTTGTTTTTTTTTTGACTCGGGGTCTTACTCATGTGGGGTCTTGCTTATGTCACCTAGGCTGGGAAGCTGTGGTGGGGTCACAGATGACTGTAACCTCGAATTCCTGGGCTCAATCCTCAGCCTCCTGTGGAGCTAGGACTACAAGCATGTTACCACCATGCCCAACTAATTTTTTTTTTTTTCTTCTAGGGATGGGTTACCATGTTTTGCTGTATTGCCCAGGCTGGTCTTGAACTCCTGCCTCAAGCAGTCCTCCTGCTTTAGCCTCCCAGAGTGTTGGGGTTACAGATGTGGGCTACCATGTCGACCCCTAAACTAACTTTCATTATGTGAAATCTCTTAGTTCCTTTTTTTTCTAAAGCTCAGCATAGTAATCACAAAAGTATTCTGTGAGAGTGAAACTGGTGTTCTTTATATGCAACTGGTCTTGGTTTTATTTGTTGAAAAATAAAGCATAACAAACACTATAAAAGATTATACTGAATCAATATCCCCATCAATAGGTTTTTTTTTTTTTTGTCTTCTAATGTAAAATACATTCTCTCACTCAAATTAACACCTAAAAATTTTATTTTAAAAATCTTCACCTTACACAAAATAATCTAATAAATTTAAAAATCAACAATTAAGATTTAAACTCTGGAAAAATAGGCACCAAATTTTGACAGTGGTTACCTATGAGATTTGAGAGGCCGTTTGCTTGTGTTTCCTTTGTTATCATCTACTTCTGTGTTTTCCAATTGGTTTATAATAAACAGGTACTATTTGGGTTAAAAAATTTACTTAATAAGCATGAGATTTGGGGCCATGGAATTAAATAGTGTCTCAAACAAGATAACTCAATTTTTGTCCCTAGAAAGAAGAAATAAAGGAAATTGCCCATAAATTGTATGGTAGAAACTTGAAAATTGCTTTTGATAAATGTGATATAATCTTTGCCCTTTATCTTTCAAATGTGTTATTTATAGCAGATAGCACAGGACATTTGGATTATACAAGAAAAAAATTAAATGTTAACTTGAAAAGTAAACATATAAAGAGAAAACATGGACATTCTTAAGTTCCTTATTTAAATACACTTTTTTCCTTTAATACAACTGTTATTTTATAGCAGAGGTAGAATGCTAGCAATAGCATTCTTTACTAGCCTAGTATCTTAAATTTGGAATTGACCTGAACCAAAACTTTTTAAATAAAAAAGGGAAACTAAGTTAAATTATGTTTACATTTACAAAGTCTGCCATGATTTCTGATTTGTAAAAGGGGTAGAGGAGAAGTTAAAAGAAGTTAAAGACTGAGAGTCTTACTTGAGTAGGAACAAAAAGTGATTGAGGGGAATGGTTGAGGCCTCCCAAATGCCCACAGGAAACTGATGAATTTGAGCTATAGTGATGCACAGCTGGTTGTGGTTTTACAATAGCTGTCAACTTCTGATTTCCAGTTTCAGAGCGACTCCCATGAGAAAGGTTCACCAAGGCACTTGTTGGCAGTCGATAACCTCTACCAGGCGAGCATCTAAAAGTAAAAAGTTACATCAGTGTCAGAAGGAAAACAATACTAAATGTGTTAGGGAGAAAAGTCAAATAATTTTTGGTGGACAATCCATCATCAGCATTAGTAAACATCTCTTTTTAAATTCAGTAGAGGAACCTCAAATCATAGAAATAGCTCAATTTATAAGATGATGTATTTCTACAAAGTTTCCTAAGAGCACATTTAGTATTTACTAAGTAGAGAAAACCCAACTATGTTTTAGGGGTGTGTGTCGATTTGTTGTTAAGAAGCTTGCATCTTAATTGTTGAATACAACTGAAAATTTATGAATTTTGTTGTTGTTGAGAGATGAGATCTCGCTGTTACTCAGGATAGAGTGCAATGGTGCTACATCCTAGCTCACTGCAGTGTCGAACTCCTGGACTCAAGCAGTCTTCCTATCTCAGCCTCCTGAGTAACTGAGACCACAGGTGCAAGGCACCATGCCTGGCATGCTTTTGTATTTTTTTTTAGAGCCAGGGTCTCACTATGTCACCCAGGCTGGTTTTGAACTCCTGGGCTCAAGTGATCCTCCATCCCTGGCCTCCCAAAGTGTTGGGATTACAGGTGTGAGCCACCACGCCTGGCCTCAAACTTCTTAAAAACTGTGGAGCCGGGCATGGTGGTTCATGCCTGTAATCCCAGCACAGCACTTGGGAGGCCGAGGCGGGCGGATCAGTTGAGGTCAGAAGTTCAAGACCAGCCTGGCAAACATGTTGAAACTCTGTCTCTATTAAAAATACAAAAAAATTAGCCAAGCATGGTAGTGCACACCTGTAATCCCAGCTACCCGTAAGGCTGAGGCAGAATTGCTTGAACCCGGGAGATGGAGGCTGCAGTGTGTCAAGATCATGCCACTGTACTCCAGACTGGGCAACAGAACAAAAATCTGTCTCAAAAAACAAAACAAAACAAACAAAAACAAAAAAATGAAAACTGTGGTTTGGGCAGTCTAGGTTATGAAAGCTCAGGAGCATGGAACCATTCTCAGTATGGCTCTTCCTAAGCAACAGGGTAAGTGTTAGCTTTGATTTCATTTGTCTATTGGTCAAATGTGGAGTCCGGCCCTTTTTTTCCTCATTTTCCCATCTTAAAGTTCTGGGCCTGTATCTGGAAAGGCTTAAGAGACAAGTATTTGTGATTTCCATCTTTCATGGCCTTGATAAACGTGTTAGATATTAAACAAACCTTCTCTTAAGTTTTCAACTCTATGACCTACTTTTTTCTCTTTGAGAGTATAATTTTCTTATATTGAAAGAAAGTGCAAAAGTAGAGTTCTATGAGAAACCTTTGTAAGTTCAAGGTTGCTAGGAAGTATCTATTTTCATGAGAACTAAACTTACTAAAGATTCTGCATTACATAAATGAACATACTGCAAGCAGGTAATCTTTTACCCAGCTCTCTATCAGTCAATAAATTCACTGTCCCTTACTAGGAGACGGGGAAAAAAGACACTGAGGAAAAAAAACTCACAAAAATATACTTAAAATATATTTTGAAAAGTTAGTGAATCAAAGGCATTGGTTATCAAACATTTTCATGAACAATAAAATCAGACAGGAGATCCGGATTCTGCCACTGTATGTGAAGAGTGCAGACAGGAGAAGTCTTTGAGTAACAAGCATATTTAAATTGCAAAACAACAATAATAGCATCCTGAAGGTAACTACTTGGTATAACGGCCGAAGACTGTGATTTCATGCAAGGAGGTTAAAAAAGGGTAATTTTTAATTTTAATTACTCATTCATCAAAATAGAGGAGAAAAAGAAACTAGATAAATTCAGTTGCTTTCCAGCTGATTTTTAGAAAGTAGAAAACTGGAAAGGATTTCGTTTTATTCTTACAATAACCTAGGGAAGTATGTATATATCTTCATTATAGATGAGGAAATTGAGGGTCAGACATTTAATTAACCTACCCAAGGTAATACCATGTTTAAGTGTGAGAGTACACCACGGTGCCTCTCATTTTATCATGATCCTTGTTCCTATAACTTTAAACTTTCTATTGGCACTTTCTCCCAAAATACTCATCTTATCTGTGTTAAATTTAACTCTCTTCCTTTAAACCTCCTAACCTCCAGTTAACTTTCTCCTTTCCTTTATAGTCAAACTTTCCAAGTGTTGCCTCCATTTCCTGTCTCCATTACTACACTTGCCATTCACTTCTCAAATCATGCCAATCTGTCGTGAGTACCTACAACTCCACTAAAATTGGTGACAAAGACATACATGTCACTAGTTTCAAAGGACATTTCTATTCCTCAAGTTATTTAACCCTAATACCATTGTTTATATATGCTATTCCCTCTTCCTGTGCACATGTCATTATTCCCCCCTTTTTTCCCTCAGTAGCTATTATTCATTCTTCAAGTTCTATCTTAAATACCACTTCCTCAAGGAGGCCTTTCCGTTACTCGCAGGACAGGTCACACTCTTTATAAAAACTTGCACTTCTTCCTAGCGCTTGCCATGTTTTAATTAAATAATATTGTAATCAGTTGCTTAATTACCTCCCTCACTAAAATGAAAGCTCTATGAGGGTAGAAAGCATGTCTGCCTTATTCAGTGTTACATCTCTAGTAGCAAGTATGTCTTACACATACCATGCATTGAAATTGTAAGCAAATAAAAAATAATATAAAGCCACTGGCCACATGAACATATTCACAAAGGGCAATTATCATTGGGAAATACAAACCTTATTGTTAACCCTCCAGGAAATTCTTCATCAAATAATACTTCAAACAGTACATCAGCTTCTCTATTAGCTGTTAAAACACAGAGAGAAAGAGACAATAAAAAATCATATGATGAAAAATCAACAGATAAGTTTTCGGAGTGTTTGGAAGTATTTATTATAAAAATTCTGGATATGATATAAAATATTCAGGATATGAAGAATGGCATAATATTAATAGAAGGAATGTTATATAAGCTAAGAAACAGAATACCAGTGCCTTAGAGGATCATATTGTCCCAATTCCCAACTAGGTAACCATTATCTTCAATTTGGCAGTTATGATTCCTTATGTTTCTTTATACTTCTACTACATACATATATATCTGTGAATAATATATAGTATTGTTTTGCAAGTTTTGAAACATATACATGGTATCATAGAGAATATATTATTTTGCAACTTATTTTTATTTCTTTCAACCTTATATTTGTGAGATTCACCCAGGTAAACGTGGGCATTCAGTTTTCTGGATATACAGTATCCCATCTATGGGTAAAAAATAATTTATTCATTCTCCTGCTGATAAACATTTAGATGATTTCTAACTTTTGCTATTATAAACAATGCTACAATGAACATGCAAATGTGTCCTTTATGCAGGTGATTGTTCCCTAGGTTAAAAGTGAAAACTGCTGGGTCTTAAGGCATGTACTTTTTTTTTTAAAAAACAGCCTTACTGGGCCTGGCACGGTGGCTCACGCCTGTAATCCCAGTACTTTGGAAGGCTGAGGCGGGTGGATCATGAGGTCAGGAGATCAAGAAGATCCTGGCTAACACGGTGAAACCATGTCTCTACTAAAAATACAAAAAAAAAAGTTAGCCAGGTGTGGTGGCGGGCACCTGTTGTCCCAGCTACTTGGGAGGCTGAGGCAGGAGAATGGCATGAACTCGCGAGGTGGAGCTTGCAGTGAGCCAAGATTGCGTCACTGCACTCCAGCCTGGGCGACAGAGCGAGACTCCATCTCAAACAAACAAACAAACAACAACAACACAGCTTTACTGAGGTATAACTGACATATGATACACTGCACATATCTGAAATATACAAGTTAATGAGTTTTAACATACATAATTAACCATGAAGCCATGACAAACAGGATAATCACTTCCAAACCTTTCCATGTCCTTTTGTAATCTGAATCCTCCTAAACCAGGCAACAACTAAAACTCTGCTGTCACCATAGGTTACTTTACATTTGTAGAATTTTATGTAAATGAAATAATACAATGTGTATTCCTCATTCGTCTGGCTTCTTTGAGCATAATTATTTTGAGAGTCACCTATGTTGTGTGTATCAGTAGTTTCTTTTTTATAGCTGAGAAGTATTCCCCTGCATATGGATCCAAGAATTTGTTTAACCATTCACCTATCAATGGGAATTTAGATTATTTCTAGGCTTTGGTTATTACATATAAGGCCGCTATGAAGATTCATGAACAAGGTTTAATGTGGATTTAAGCCCATTTCTCTTGGGTAAATACCCACCTATGAATGGGATGGCTGGGCCCTATGCTATGATGTATGTTTAACTTTTTAAGGACTTACCTTCATCATGATAGCCCACCAATGGGGGGAGAAAAAAAAGAACCCACTAAACTACTTTCCAAAGTGGTTTTATCTTTTACATTACGACTGGCAATATAGGAGAGTTCTAGTTGCCCTATATCGTTGTCAACACTTGGTATAACCACTCTCTTAAATTTCAGTCTTTCTAGTCTGTACATGGTAATATCTTATTTGGTTTTAATCTGTATTTCCCTAACAACGAATGATGTTGAGCAGTTTTTCATATGCTTATTTGCTATCCATATATCTTCTGTGGTAAAGTATCTGTTCAGCTATTTTGATCATTTTAAAAACTGGGTTGTTTGATTTATTAAACTGTAAAAAACTTTTATATAGTCTAAATAAAAGCATTTGTTGGATTTATGTTTTGCTAATATGTGCCTTTTCATTTCTGTAATACGGTCTTTTGAAGAGTGAGAGTTTTTTTTTTTTTTTTTTAATTTTGATGAAGTCTAAAGCAGCAATTTTCTTTTTCTGTCTTGTCTTGTCTTTTTTTTTTTTTTTTTTTTGAGACAGAGTCTTGCTCTGTTGCCCAGGCTAGAGTGCAGTGGTGTGATCTCAGCTCACTGCAACCTCTACTCTCTGTGTTCAAGAGATTCTCCTGCCTCAGCCTCCCGAGTAGCTGGGATTACAGGCACCTGTCACCATTCCTGGCTAATTTTTGTTTTTGTTTTTTTTTTTTTTTGAGACAGAGTCTCGCTCTGTCGCTCAGGCTAGAGTGTAGTGGCATGATCTTGGCTCACTGCAACCTCTGTCTCCCAGGTTCAAGTGATTCTTCTGCCTCAGCCTCCCAAGTACCTGGGACTACAGGCATGCACCACCATGCCTGGCTAATTTTTGTATTTTTAGTAGAGATGGGGTTTCACCATATTGGCCAGGCTCGAACTCCTGACCTTGTGAGCCACCTGCCTTGGCCTCCTAAAGTGCTGGGATTACAGGGTGAGCCACCGCGCCCGGCCCTAATTTTTGTATTTTTAGTAGAGACAGGGTTTCATCATGTTGGCCAGGCTGGTCTCGAACTCCTGACTTCAAGTGATCCACCCGCCTTGGCCTCCCAAAGTACTGGGATTACAGGCGTGAGGGCCCGGCCTTTTCTTCTTCTTTTCCCCTCCTCCCCCCACCGACCCTCCCCTGGCCTTTTTCTTTTTCTTTTCTTTTTCCCTCCCTACCTCCCTCCTGCTCCACCCTTTTCTTTTCTTTTTCTCTCCCTCCCTTCTTTTCTTTATTTCTTCCCTTCTTCCCCTCCTTCCCTCCCTTCCTTTCTTCTTTTTCTCTCTCTTTCTTTTTTTGACAGGGTCTCGGTCTGTCATCCAGGCAGGAGTGCAGTGGTGCAATCAGGGCTCACTACATCTCCGATCTCCTGGGCTCAAGTGATTCTCCCACCTCAGCCTCCTGATTAGCTGGGAGTACAGGTGCACAACACCATGACTGGCTAATTTAAAAAAATTTTTTAGTAAAGACAGAGTTTCACTTTGTTACCCAGGCTTGTCTCAAACTCCTGGGCTCAAGCAATCCTCCTGCCTTGGCCTCCCAAAGTGTTGGGATTACAAGTGTGAGCCACGGCACCTGGCTGGCAATTTTCTTTCAGACTCTCTGTGTGTTATTTAAGACATCTTTACCTAATTCTAGGTTACTAAGATTTTCTCCTTAAAGTTCTATACTTTTAGCTCTTACATTTAGGTCTTTGATTCATTTTGAGCTAATTTCTATAGAAGATGTAAGGTAAGGAGTTGTGGATTTTTTTTTTTTTTTTTGCATATGGTGTCTAATTGTTCCAACACCATTTTTTCTTTTACATTAAACAAGTCCTCAATATATACAGCACGATTTTTAAATTAAATTACATTTTTTTTCCTCACCACTATACTAATGAGGACAACAGCACTTGTTAAAGACATTATCCCTTCTTCATCAAATTATCCTGGCACATTGTTGTAAAATCAATTGACCATATACGTCTGGGTCTATTTCAGGACTCTAATTATATTCCACTGATCTATATGCCATCTTTACATTAATTCACACTGTTTTTCATTACTCCAGCTTTGTAAAGTTTTGAAATCAGGTGGGTAAATTCTCCAACTTTGTCCTTCTTTTTCAATTTTTTCTGGTTAGTCTAAAGCCTTTGCTTTTAAAATAAATTTTACAACCAGCTTATCAATTTCTACAAAACAGGCTGCTGGGATCTTGATCAGGATTCTTTGACTCTACAAATCAAAGCAACTGATTTCACTGACATCTTAACAATAGTGAGTCTTCCAAAAAAGTAAAAAACAAAATTAGGGAAGAAAATTCTTTTAGTTATATGGGCAGGAAGATATTCAAAGAGGATCTACAAATGGAAAATGTACAGAACCACTGTTCAAATTTAGGTAGGAATTAGGGGAAGGAGCTCAAATCCCAGCTCTGCCACTTATCTATGTAAACACAGGAAGGTTACTTAACTTCTCAGGTGAGACCACCCCTTGGGTGATAGTGAGGGTTAAAAGCAAAATGTGTTAGTGCCTGGCACATTGCTGGCACTAATTAAGCAGTTCTCTTCAGCTAGTGGCCTGCCTGTTCTTCCTACTTTTGGGATAGTGAGACCAAGAAGTCTGATGCCTGGGATATATATAGAGGAACAGTGCTGCCAGAACACTGACCCCTGGGTGCATGATACTGCTTCATGCTGGCACTAACTTTTTTTTGAATCTATGCTATAAATCTGGTTATTCCTGGAATATCTTTGAGGGCACATTCAGCTATTTAGCTGCTGCTTCCTTTTTTTTCCCCTTCTCTGATTTTTTTTTCGCCATCTTAGCCACTTTTAAGTGTATGGTACAGTAATGTGAACTGTATGCACACTGTTGTGCAACAGATTGATAGGTCTGTTTTATATATGTAATTTAGTTGTATTCATAAAGTCCAAATTAAAATACACATTTAATTTTCAAATCTTTTAACTGTAATTAATGTAATATGTATTTAATCTCAGAAACTTAGCGATTATGATTAAAATAAAGCTCTGAGCAAGATTAGACAAATGTTTAACTCGGGAGAAGCAATGAAAATTCTTTATCAGTTTCATGAAAACATATGTATGCTCACCAAGATCTTGCATAATTTTAATGTGATATAAAACTACTAAATTCTCAGCAGCCCCTTCTCAGTTTCTCCTCCTTTTAATCTCTTTACAGATTATACAATAAAAAACAGAAGAGTTTTTTCTCTGAAAAGTATAACCTAAGAAAATTTTAACTAAAACATAAAAAGATCTAGTTTGTTCCTGATTTATAGTCACTTTCTGGTTAGATATAAAAAACAAACAAGCCTGTGTATTACTTTACAATATAAACTAAGTTGAAGACATTTCAAGTATTAGGATATTACCTCCTTTTATTCCTATGATGGTGCCTCGAAGGCCAACTGGAACTGAGAAGTTTTCTCTCACATTTACAACACGGTCAAAAAGACAAAATTCTGCATCCCGATCAGGAATGACTCCATGTTGCTGTTCTAAAGGCTGAAGAGAAGAAAGCTATTAATTCTAATCAAAAAAAAAAAAGTTTTCCTACTGAAATACTGAAAACATTTTTGTTCCTTCCATGAATTCAAAGTGAAAGCAACAACTCTAAATTCTTTGATAGGAAACTTACTCTGTATAGCAAATGGGGCTTCACTGTTACTCGCACCTTCTTATTATTCTTTCTTTGCTGAGGAAAAGGAAAAATTGTTAAATATTTTTAAAATATAAAATTATAAAATCACTAAACTACTCACTACTTCTACATGTCTGAATTTTAAAAAGCCAAATGAAGTGATTAATTTTAAAAATATTTAAATTTCTGCAGCTGCAGCAAGAAAAAATAAAATAAACACATATAAAATGCCTGTAGCCTAAATTATCATTTTAAAACTTTAAAGTAAAATTTTTTGTTGAAGTATAAGACAGCATGGGGAGGAAAATGCAAAATTATACGTATATAGGCCAATGAAGTTTTATAGTGTATCTATGTATAACTATACCTGGTTCAAGAAACAACACTGCTAAGTACAACAAAAGAAATTCTTTCCATCTCCTCCCAGTTACTACCCTTTCCGGAAGTAACGTTACTTTTAACACAAAATATTACATTTGTCTGTTTTGGACCTTATATAAATGCTATCCTATTCAAATGTCTTTTTTGTAACTATAAAAAGAATTACATACAATGGCCAACAAAGATTTATATATTTTAAAAAAGTATCAAGTACTGACCTATGACAATACCATGAATTTTGTGGCCACTTATAAAAATTATGGTGGCAATCATTTGACAAAACTCTTTGCTTTGAATTTATTGTAAAATTCGATATTAGAATCTTTTCATTATCTAAAAAATGCTGGAAGACTCTTCTCCTATCTTTGATACTTCCTAGTTCTGTGAACTCACACTTAACTACCTTAGGCATCAGCTTCCTTCCATCTGTAAGATGGAAATATTCCCTGTTCTATCTAATAAAAACATGAGAAAAATTTATATCCTTTACAATTCATAAACTACTATTCATACTAAAAAAATTTGAAGTTAATTCTTACCTAATTTTAAAAATTACAGCTGTTTAATTATATGGCAGCCACCTCTCTTTAGAACATAGCTTATGGGAATAAGTACAAAAGGACACAGAACAGATCCAGGCTATAGAGTCCATAAACTATAGGGTTCATGTATTTACATACTATAAAATGCTCAAGCCTTTAAACAGTGTCTACTTTCTTTTGTTAAGAGACATTTCATTTATTCTTTCAATAAATATTTACCGAGATCTATTTGTGTGCTATATATTGATTAATCTAGGTGCTGGAGATAAAGCAGTGAACTGTTCTTTTACTCTAGTTGAGGGAGATATACAAGAAACAAAATAAGGAAGATATATAGCATGTTAGAAGGTAAAAAGCCTAGAGAAAAATGAAGCAGTTAAGGAGGATAGCAGTAGGGGGAGACATTACAATCTTAACACAGTGAACAGTGAAGGCCTTAATGACAAAGTATCTATGCTGTCAGCCCACAGCAGACTAGATGCACTAAAAGACACACAACAGCCAAAGGAAAGACTATGAAGAGATTTAAGGGAACTTTAAAGAGCAGGCACAGTGGGGTATTGCATATCAAAAAACAACCCATATGCTCTAAGACATTCATAGGCATTATCACACTATGGCATTGATTAGAGGACATGGATCAAAACCGATTCATCAGGAAAAGGAATAAGCTGGGTAATGTTCACAATAGGCCCAACCCATATCTAATGTATGAGAAGTTTGCGGACTGGCTACTCAAAATGTGATCACCTAAGAGCTTATTAGAAATGCAGAATCTTGGCCAGGTGCAGAGGCTCACGCCTGTAATCCCAGCACTTTGGGAGGCCGAGGTGGGTGGATCACCTGAGGTCAGGAGTTCAAGACAAGCCTGACCAACATGGAGAAACCCCGTCTCCACTAAAAATACAAAATTAGTCGAGCATGGTGGTGCATGCATGTAGTCCCAGCTACTCAGGAGGCTGAGGCAGGAGAATCGCTTGAACCCGGGAGGCAGAGGTTGCAGTGAGTCGAGATCATGCCATTGCACTCCAGCCTGGGCAACAAGAGTGAAACCTTGTTTAAAAAAAAAAAAAAAGAAAAAGAAATGCAGAATCTCAAGTCACACCCTAGACCTACCAAACGAGAACTGTATTTTAACAAGATTCACTGGTGATTTGTTTGTATCTGAAAGTTTGAGAAGCACTGCTCTAGAGGTGGAACCCAGAATTGCTCTAGAAATGGACCCCAGAATTTTATTCTAATTTTACTAATGAGGAAATAGAGGTATAGAAGCAAAGTTCTGCCAGTAATTTTGATAATTAGCTGAGTTTGGAAACCACGTTCCAACAAGAAAACTGACTTTTTTTTTTTTTTTTTTTTTTGTGAGACAAAGTCTTGCTCTGTCGCCCAGGCCAGAGCGCAGTGATGTGATCATGGCTCACTGTAGCCACAAACTCCCTGGCTCAAGTGATCCTCCTGCCTTGGCCTCCCGAGCAGCTGGGACTATAGGCATGTGCCACCACGCCTGGCTAATTTTTTAATTTTTTGTGCAGCTGTTGCTCAGACTGGTCTCAAACTCCTGACTTCAAGTGATCCTCCCATCTCCCAAAGTGTTGGGATTACAGCTGTGAGTCACCGTACCCAGCCAACTACTGATACTTTTAATGATGATCCTGCATTACTTAGAAAAGTTTAAATTATCTTCAGAATTGTTGTATTTATTTTTTAGTTTTTTTCTCCTTCTTTTATTGCCCTAGTAACATAATCCTGAAAGAAAAAAAAAAAACCTCATAACTGCACCTCCCTGACACATTAACAGGTTTAAGAAAACTCCTGTCTTATCTATATGCACATATATGATTATATATAAAATATATATGATTACATATTATATATATTAAAGGACATGAAGTTAATATATATTAAATATTTAACATATAAACATTAAATGTTTAATATGTAAACATTTAATTTATAAACATATAAATTTTAACACATACATATATATAAATAATGATATGGAGTCTCACTCTGTTGCCCAGGCTGGAGTGAAGTGGCATGGTCTCAGGCCACTGCAACCTATACCTCCCAGGCTCAAGTGATTCTCCTGCCTCAGCCACCCGAGTAGCTGGGATTACAGGTACCTGTCACCATGCCTGGCTAATTTTTGTATTTTTATTAGAGACAGGGTTTCATCATGTTGGCCAGGCTGGTCTCGAACTCCTAAACTCAGGTGATCCGCCCGCCTAAGCCTCCCAAAGTGCTGGGATTACAGGCATAAGCCACTGCACCTGGCCTATATGCACATATATTTTTAAAAATGTAATCAAACCTGTAGTCCCAGCACTCTGGGAGGCCGAGGCAGGTGGATCACAAGGTCAGGAGATCGAGACCATCCTGGCTAACACAGTGAAACCCTGTCTCTACTAAAAATACAAAAAATTAGCCAGGCGTGGTGGTGGGCGCCTGTAGTCCCAGCTACTCGGGAGGCTGAGGCAGGAGAATGGCGTGAACCGGGGAGGTGGAGCTTACAGTGAGCCGAGATGGCGCCACTGCACTCCAGTCTGGGAGACACAGCGATACTCCATCTCAAAAAGATAAAATAAAATAAAATAAAAAAATAAATGTAATCAAAATAATAGACTAAAACGTTGTATATGCATCTTCTATTTGTAAAGTAAAGGGAAAATGTGTGAAACATTTTAGAAAGCTCTGAATCCAAATGGCTTAAAACTGGGGGTGGGAGGGCTTAAGGTTTTAAAGATTTGTTAACTGGAAAACTTACCTCAAAAATGATGCTGAACAAACTGATTTCACTCTACACTGAAAGGCAATTAAAAAGAAATACAGGCTTTCTATCCTCAGCTGAATATCAATGACCTTTCAAAAATTAAACTCTTGGCTCTGAGCCTTATATTTTTTCCTAAAGAGAAAAAGAGTCATCTAGTGTTGATTTTCTAGACTATAACCACGGCTCTTCAGTGTGTGATAGGATAATTTAAAAAATAATAAAAGCATCTAAGCATTATTAGGCATTAATAATAGCTAGGCATTATTAGAAGTAGTTTACTCAGTATTAACTCGGTTAATCTTTTTGAGGACACTCTAAGGCAGGTACTATTTTATTCTCATTTTACCTATGAGGAAACAGAGGTATGGAAGGAGAGGTTAAGTATCTTGCCAAAGGTTATTAATATTAAAAAACCGATTCAAACTCAGGGTGTTAGGGGAGACAGCTCCAGAGCCCAGTTCTTAACTTATTCTGCAATTAGTTCAAACAACAGAATGCCGTATTGGCAAAGCAACAGCATTTTAATACAACGGGCAAATGTGTGAAAAATGAAATAAAAAGTTGAAAAAGGCAAAATAATCAATTCATTTTCTATAGATAAAATGCACAACTCTACTATAAAAGTTTACTCCGTAAAAGAAAGCAAGACATAAGAAATAGGAGAGATCAAGGGATTTCAAAAATTTTTAGTAACTCAATGAGTGTATGAGTAAGAAAAGTACATTTTAGGCTGGGCACGGTGGCTCACGGCTGTAATCCCAGCACTTTGGGAGGCTGAGGCGGGTGGATCACCTGAGGTCAGGAGTTCAAGACCAGCCTGGTCAACATGGCAAAACTCCATCTCTACTAAAAAACACAAAAATTAGCTGGGCGTGGGAGCAGGTACCTGTAATCCCAGCTACTCGGGAGGCTGAGGCAGGAGAATCGCTTGAATATGGGAGGCGGAGGTTGCAGTGAGCCGAGATCGCGCCACTTCACTCCAGCCTGGGTGACAGAGTGAGACTCTGTCTCAAAAAACAAAAACAAAAACAAAAACAAGAGTACATTTTAGAATTGATTGTCAAAAGTCAATTAAATTTTTTTGTGCTACAAAAAGATGAACTGTGTACTTAAAGAATGTAGTCAGAGGCCAGGCGTGGCGACTCAAGCCTGTAATCCCAGCACTTTGTGAGGCTGAGGCGAGAGGATCACCTGAGGTCAGGAGTTCAAGACCAGCCTGGCCAACATGGCGAAACACCATCTCTACTAAAAAATACAAAAATTAGCTGGGCATGGTGGCAGGCACCTGTAACCCAGCTACTCGGGAGGCTGAGGAAGGAGAATTTGCTTGAACCTGGGAGGCGGAGGTTGCAGTGAGCCGAGATCGTGCCACTGCACTCCAGCCTGGGCAACAGAGAGAGACTCTGTCTCAAAGAAAAAAAAAAAGATTGTAGTTAGAACAGGAAGAAATAGGGGATTATTAACCTTATTCTCAAACTTTCTATTGTAACTAAAATCACAAAATATTAATTCTCAATATTGGAAACACTACAAGGGCATAAAATTTAAATGCTATGGCTTTTGTACGTTGAAAATATAATTTTATAAGTTTATCATTAGTTATAATGGCTAATGGAGCCATTAACATATTAGTGTTATACAATATAAATTTGGTATAACACTATTGGCTACTAATAGCTACTGTAAATGGTTAGAACTTTTTAAAATTGTGGGATTATCTGATACTAATTAGAATCACTAAGTATATGTTTTATTTGGTTGAAATACAAATGAATTATTTGTAAAGTATAGTCCATTTAATTCCAAATCTCATCAATAATCTTGGTTACTGAAAGTTAGTACCTTGCACTTTTCGACTTCTTCCTCAATTTTCTCAACAATAGCTGCATCCAGAATTTGTAAATCACAAGAAGAACGAGATAAAGTACTGACAGGATGTCCTTTTAGCCAAGTAATAATTTCTTGAACTTTCTCAGCACTAAAGCAAAAACAATAATTTTTAAAATTTGATTAAAACTTTCTCGGGGCTATAAATTATAAAAGACATCAAACTTATATCACTAATAATAGTACTGAACTTAATTGGGACTAAGTATAAATCTAATATAATATGGACATATTACCTCTTAGTAATTAAAAGACACACCAAAAGATTGGTTTAAAAGTATTTGTTGATAGAAACGAAAGAAAATTTGTTAAGCTCTTAAAGCAAAAATGAAACAATGCAAAAACAAAACAAAACAAAACAAAAACCAAAAAGAAGTAATAGGACACGCCTGTAATCCCAGCACTTTGGGAGGCCAAGGAGCATGGCCTGAGCCCAGGAGTTTGAGACCAGCCTGGGCAACATGATGAGACCCCGTCTCTACAAAAAATTTAAAAAAAAATTAGTCAAATGTGGAGGCATACGCCTACAGACCCAGCTAACTCAGGAGGAGGCTGAGGGTAGAAGGATTGTTTGAGTCCAGGTAACCAAGGCTGAAGTGAGCTATTTGAGCCACTGCATTCTAGCCTGGGCAACAGAGTAAGAATCTGTCTCAAAAAGAAAAAAAAAGTAATATGAAATTCTTGACAAACCAGCTGGCTGCACCTGTCATTGAAAACACTCAACCGAACTACGAGGTAATAAATACCATAAATCTTGCTTACCCATTCTCATTTTCTCCAGGCCAAATGTCATCTTCATAGAACACATCCTCTTGGCTATTTTTGGCTATATAACTAAATAGTTCCGGAGCTCTGGTCAAACAAACAAAAATATTGTCTTAAAATACATATGGTTAACTTCAGATAAACTTCCTATGTAATAATTTCAGATCCTAAAGAGACATATAAAGCTTATTGAGGACTATTATAATACTAATAAGGGATATTATTAAAAGTGATAGAAAGTGTAAGACTGGTAAGTCAGAGTACTCCTAAGCCCTCAAAAAACTCCCACTGGCTAAGGTTCAAGTCATAAACTTACAATAAACTTCAATTACTGTCTCTACCCTCTTTCATTATAATGACAGCTGATAGACAAAAATGGTATCTATAGATTTTCTAATTTTCACAACAAAACTAGAGCACTCCACAATACAATAAATTAAAATAGATTAAAAGCGTTTTCTGATAATCCTCAAAACTCCATTTTTTTCTGAAGAGTGCAAGACTTTTGGATACACATAGCAAATTGAACAAATGTGCTTATCTTCCATCCCTCTCCAATCCATTAAAATGACAATATAGTAAAAAAAAAAAAAAAGAGCATAGACCTAGAGAGACAGATGAAAAACGAAGCACAGCATCTGGTGGCATATATAACCTGTTAAAATTTTAGAAATTGGAAACTGGATGAATGAATGTTATCTGATTTGACAGACAGGAATAAGTTGAATCCTGAACTACCAGTGGGGAAGTCAATAAGCAGCAAGTTGATTTAAAACACAGAACACTCTGAAAAAGTTCAGGAATTATACGTTCCAGGTACATTTGAAAGTGTGGGGTGAGGTTTAGTAAGATTTAAAGTTTGTATAACAAGCAGTTATACTGTCATGTGGTTGCCTGCCTGCCACCCCAGCATATGACCTGTAGCGTATATTTTAGAGAGGTCAAATTGATACTATAGCCTTGTGTATACCAGTCACAGGGACTTGGGGGTGAGGAAGGCATAAGGAGGAGAGGACAGGTGTTATACTGAAAACAGGGAATTAATGAAAGCATAAATACTATACCATGTGTCACTAGGAAGCATAAGGTCTCTAGGAATGGACTCTGGGATGGAGATAAGCATGCAGAAAGTTTAGTAGGGAGTGCTTGTGTGATCAACACCTGTGAAAGGGAAGGGAGAGGAAGAAAGCACAATTGGGCATGGGAAGAGGTTGGGTTGTGACTAATTCTCAATGAATTCCTTGGCCAGCCGCACAAAGATCTCAAACTGGGATGGCCCTTCAGACTTGCCATGAATTGGGGCAATCAGAATGTCTGGGCTTCTACACCTCCTTACAGATCAGGCATTGATTTGTGGCGGTTGTGGGAAGGGAAAGTAACTTTAGGTGAGGCAGTTCTCTTCATCCAGGCAATTACTGACGAGGGCTCACAGCTCAGGGCTGTCAGAAAGCAGCATTCCTGCTGCAAGGGGATAGGTCTTTCAGTCTTGAAAAGTGATCTGGAAGGTGCATCACAGTATCCACTTGGTAATGAAACCTTCTTTCCCTGGTTAACTTCCAGAACACTGGCAATCAGTTTAATCCACTACATTTATATCCACTGCCAAGGAAAAGGCTGGAGGCCACCTCTCAGAGAAAGAAAAGATAAACATGCAGGTAGTGATACTAGGAGGTCCTCTGTAGAAATAGGCAAAGTCCCTCCTGATCCACCTGATAAGCCCCACCTAAGTACACTAAATTTCCAATCAGCTATTTAGTGCCTCATTCTTAAATATAATTGGATATCAAAGAATCACCAGACAAGAACAACAACAAAACTTTAACATTGAAAGAGAGACTAAATCAAACAGGAAGAAAAAAAGCAATTAGAGAAAACAGAAAACACAAAAAATAGAAGGAAAAATCCTAGAATTATCTTCAGAGAAATAAATGAAGATATTCCATTCACTGTAAGAACAAGATGCTACATATAGCCAGAGAATAAGGACACACTTTTAAAAATTAAAATGATTAAATCAAATATAAATTTTAAATGATAAACAATAAAGTTGAATGAATTTCCCAGAGTAGAACAGAAGTATAACAATATAGGAAATGGATGAGGAGAGATAAAACTAAGAGGATCAATCCAGACAGTCTAAGATTTAACTAAAAGGATTCCCAGAAATAGAAAGCAGGAAAAAAATAGTGAGGAGAAAATTATCAAAGAAATAATACAAGAAAGTTTCTCAGAATGGAAGGGCATCGGTTTCAAGCCTGAAAGAGCTGAACAGGAGAAGGGAAGAAAAAAGATCCATACCAAGGCACACATCCTCACATTATTAAAAAGCACCAATAAATGAAAGGTGCTAAAAAGATTTCAGAAAATGAAAACAGATCACATACAGAAATTCAGAATCGGAACGGCACAGGATTTATCAACAGCAATATGGAAATGAGAAGAGAATCGAACAGTGGCTTCAAAATTCTGAGGGAAGGCCAGGTATGGCAGCTCACACCTGTAATCCCAGTACTTTGGGGGGCCAAGGCGGACAGATCACTTGAGGTCAGGTGTTTGAAACTAACATGGTAAAACCCCATCTCTACTAGAAAAAAATACAAAATTTAGCCGGGCATGGTGGCAGGTGCCTATAATCCCAGCTACTCAGGAGGCTGAGGCAGGAGAATCACTTGAACTGGAGAGGCAGAGGTTGCAGTGAGCCGAGATTGTGCCAGTGCACTCCAGCCTGGGTGACAGAGTGAGACTCTGTCTCAAACAAAACAAAACAAAAACAAAAGCAAAAACAAAACTGAGGGAAAATAATCTCCAATCTAGGATTCTACACCTAGGCAAACTATTAATCAAGTGAAGGAGAAGAATAAAGACATCTCCAGACATGCAAGTTTTCTCAGGAAGCTATTGGAGTAAGTGCTCTATCAAAATGGAGATATAAATCAGAAAGAGTGAGGCATGAGAGTCAGAAAATGAAGGAATCCTATATGGCAGACTGGTGAAGAGAATTGAATTCCTAGGATAACAGCACCGGGAAACTGCAGAAGGAGAGCTGCACAACAGCCGTAGAGAGCAATCAGTTCAAACTGAAGCAGGAAGACAGAGGTTTTAAAAGAAGTCTCCAGTTCTTATATTAACTGGTTTTGGTGTCTTGAATATATTTTTTTAAATTATGTGTATGAACAATTCTAGTTCATTTGTTCATCAAAGAGTAAATAACCATTCCTCTCATGTTTTGATCACTGAGTGTATCTGTAATAACCTAATTAAAATATTTTGTAGAAAAAAAAAAAAAAAAAAAAAAAAAAAAAAAAAAAAAGAAGTCTCCAAGAGGAAAATGGAACTGAGCGATCACCTGATCTGTTTGACCACACTGTAAACAGCTATGGCAAATAATTTGTTATGTGAATGTAGATAAGAAGCAAATGAAAAAAACAGCAGAGAAAATAAAAATGTGTACAAGAAATAAACTGTAATCTTAATACTCCATAACGTCCAGCTGTGAACATTTACTTCATCTTAAGGAAGTAAACTTTTAATACATATTTAATAAAAAATCTTGATAAAACTTTCGTGAGAGAGGAAATATGTGTGTGAGGGAATCCAGAGTGGTAGAAGTCAAAGAAAACTGAAGCTCAGGGTAGGAAAGCCACTCACAGTAGGAAATCCATAAATATGTCAAGTTAAAAAATTAAGAAAAAGTAGTTTAAACACGACCTTTTAAAGAAATAAGAAAGTGAACAGAAGAAACAATCTAAATTTCCAGATGGTAATATGGGATTGAATTGTGTCCTGCCCCACTCAGAAGTTATGGAATGTGACTTTATTTGGAAATAGGGTTTTTAGTAGAGGCAGTCAAACAAAATGTGGTCATTAGCATGGGCTCTGATCTGACTGGTATTCTTATAAAAAGGGGAAATTAAGACACAGAGACAGACATACAGAGATGAAAGATGATGTGAGACACCCAGCAAGAACATCACATGAACATGGAGGACTGGAGAGATGCATCTACAAGCCAAATAATATATAAGGCTATGAGAAGGTAGAACAGAGGTGCTTCCCTAGTGCCTTCAGAGGGACCATCATTGTCCTGCAATATCTTGATTTTGGACTTTTGGTCACCAGAACTGGTTGAGACAATAAATTTCTGTTGTTTAAGCCACCCAGTTTGTGGTACTTTGTTATAGGAGCCCTAGGAAACTAATAAAGATATCTTCAAATATAAGGTTAGAAACCAGTGAAATAATAGAAAGAACATTAAATTATGAATCAGATGAAAACATACATCCTGTAAGTCTTTGTCAGTAGTAACTCAGTGAATCTTGGTACTTGGCTTTCTCACTTTTGGTATGAGTTGACTTGCTGATTTCCTTGATAATTTCAGCAATAAAATTCAATAATTCTAAAATAGTAACCTGTGCAGCTACAAAGTTCTAAGAATCAGAAAAAATCCACTATGCTAAGAGCTTTGTTTATCCATATCAGTCCTCTCAGTGCTGACACAGGTATGCAAAGTAGTGAACAATTTATGATAGTAAGTTAAGAAAAATTTTAACTAAGGAGGCCAATTCTCATTACATACTTTCTTTTTAATAACATGGTATTTTTCTACTCAATTTTAGCTAGTGGCTATGATAATCCATGATGCAAAATTAAGTTTACATGTAACATATGCCAGATTTTACTAATGGAAATATTTGTCCACTAAAACTAATGTAAGCAAAAAAATAAACAGTATTTTCCTAAGATTCTGGATGACTACCAGGATCTTATTAGGTACTTACCTCTCTAAGTACTCTGCCAGAAGTTGTTCTGCTGCAGATGAATACATCCATTCACTTCCAACTTTCTTGGTATATCCAGGTACCTCCTCATTTTTCTTGTTGAATTTGAGATTTAAACCCACATTTGCTTTATGGTCTCCATGAGGGCTGAATTTAAACCACACATGCACGCACGTGCACACACACACACACACACACACACACGTTTTAAAATATTGTTCAAGGAATAAAAAGTTTTGCTTTCAATTCTTAGAAAAGCTCAGTTTTGATTATTCTTCTATATTTTAGTTATTATGGTTATTTCCCAAGTAGCAGTAATTGAAAAACTAGAAGAAAAGCTTCAAAACCCAAGTTAACAAAGCATGTAAATAAATTATGTAACTATAGAGGAAAATGAAATAACAAGATGCAAGGAAATATACTACTGAGGTTCACACACACCCTCTGATACCTTTTTTCAAGGTTCAATTTATTAGCTGCTAAAAAATAAGAACTGTCTTTTCCAACCACCTAAAACATGTGCCATTCAGATGAAAGATTACCATCAGAGAAATTTATGCACAATTTTAAGACAATTCAGAGCAATTAATAAGAAAATAAATACTGAAATATTAAGCATTTAATCTTTATCATTTAATTTTTCTGCCACTTTAAGTAAATTTCTCTAACATAAACTTACTTTCTCCTAGATCCTCTTCCAATAAAAATACTTCCTGTAAACCTTGAAACAAGGTATCCACTCACTCCAAGGCGACTGGCCAACACATATCCTGGGTTGTACTTTATAGAATATTTCTTTAAATATAAAAACAAAAAGGTCAATTATGGAAACACAAGTTTACATTAAATGTTATTTCTTTACCTTTAAAATCTGGAGATAATCAAGACATCACTAACCATTGGATTGTGGCAATATAAGGATTTTCACTTAGATCCATTTCCCCTTTTTTTTGAAAGGATCTGTAGGCAGAATTTTTCTGCTCCTCTCTCTTTCTCCTTAAAGGACAGAATTCCCAAGGATGGATAAAAGGGGGGAGGAAATATACAGTTTGTGAAACTGTCTTAAGAAATAAACTCTACTGTAAGTACTAAATGGCAAACTCCACAGGCAACTTTTTTGTTTGTTTTTGTTTCTACTAATTTTCATATTCCAAGCAGGGCCTAGCAAAGTACTTGGGACAAAATGAGGCCTCAATAATTACTAGACTGAATTAAAAAACAGGTACGTCATCAAAATAGTTGCTACTGAGAAAAACTAAAAGTGTCCTTCATATATGGATATAAGTAATATTCTTTTCCCCTAATATTTACTATCATATGAAAATATACAAGCATGTATAGACCCATAATTAATACAGTCAATGAAATGTAACCTTAATTTATATACTTAAGGGAAGAAAACATATTGTCACATTAAAAAAAGTAAGTAACAGATCATATAATATTTAAACAGGAAGCAAATGACTGATGAATCCAATACTAACTAGGATAAACTACCATATACTCCTAACATCATGTACATAACAATAAAACATACTTAAGAACATAATCAGATTGAGCAATAATCTAATACAAATCAAGTATGCTTTCCAGAAGAGTTCAAAGAATTATGGTAGTAGGTCTCAAACATAAGTAGCAACACTTTTCTAACAAGCATTTAGAAATGTGTAGAGGCACATTTAATTACCATAACTGGCATGGGCTACTAGTACTTAATGCCCTTGAGCCAAAGATGCCAACTGTCCTGCCATATACAAAACAGTTTTATTTAATACATAACTGTCCTGCCCAAATGGCCAATAGTACTCCTTTTGAGAAATAATGGGTTTTGCTATAATTTAAAATTCATTAAAACCATCACAAACATCCTAGAAAATATAAAATAAGTAGCTGAGAATGTTGTGGTAGAAAAAGAAGGCAGCTGGAGTGAAAGTTAAACGTATGTAAAGAGACAGAAACCAAACTGAAGAAGGCATGCCCATCAACACTGTATACTACTATACAAGAGGACAGGCTCTTCGAGATCTAGAAAAAGCCAGGGATGAAGGAACACAAGTTCTTTAACCTTCACTGATTCCCAGTACAAATCTCCAGCTACTTTATTTAATGAGCCACTCTCCTGGTTTCCTGACTATGCTGTCTAAATTTGTTCTTCAAATGGCACCAGATGGTAAGATTTTAGGGATGACTGTCTTCCATACATAAAGTTTCCTCATGGGTGTGCTGATATGTAATGCCTTAAATTCATTTCACAGGATATAAAGCTTTACATTTTACTATTAGTGTGAGAAAAAAACCCCTAAGTAGCAATAGTTGGTTGATTGTGAATTAATTTTAGCTAATTATCCAACCAATCAATAAGAACAAATGACAGATATCAGAACCTTCCCTCTGTTTTAACAGGAGAAAAGAAAGCCAGTGGAATTTTTTGGTGAGAAAGTCCTGAAAAAGATGCTGTTAACTTAAGTGCATTTTTCCAATATTCTTTAGAATTGAGACCGTTCATTCTTAGCTGAGTGGATACATACAGCCTTTGCAGAAAGGCCATTTGTCACTTGCAACTAAAAATGCAGGCTCTGAATTATTATGAAAGGTTTAAAACACCTAAATCTATTCCCAGAGAGTGTGCTAATCAATGTGCATCTTATAAGCTTGAACACAATAATCCCTAACAATCACTATGGATTAATAATTGGATATCAGTGATTTCCCCCCATAAAGGTCTACATGAAGTTTTGAGCACAGATTCCACACTGATTTTTAAACAGCAGCTGCAACTGGGAGAGAGAATCTAATCAGTATTAAATAAAATATCTGAAATAAATTCAAATGAGGTGGCAAAAATATCCTAATATTTTAAGATTATCAATTCAAAATGCAACGATACAAACTACTGTACTCACATGCTGGTTCTGTATTAAAGCATCAAGATTGGGTTCACATGGAATGCTGAAAATCACACGAATCCTACCTTCTGTAATCACATCACCTGAATCCTGCACCTTAGAAGAAAAAAAAAATCACAGTATAGTCTCTTTCAGTATATTTTATTTTTTAACTTATTTGAACACTATTATTTTTGAAATACAGTATGACAAGTTGGATAGTGGAAATTCTCTTGAAATTTGTTAACTGGGTATGAAAATACTGTAAATTTGAGTCACTGTATCATTGCTTTAATGGTTAACTTCTTTTGAGACAGGATCTACAATACTGTAAATTTGAGTCACTGTATCATTGCTTTAATGGTTGTTAATTTCTTTTTTCTTCTTTTGTTTTCTTTTTGACAGGATCTCACTCTGTTAGACGAGATCAGGTGCGTTCAGGGTGGTATGGCCGTAGACAGGATCTCACTGTCATTCAGGCTAAAGTGGCAGATCACAGTTCATTGCAACCTCGAACTCTTGGGCTCAAGTAATATTCCTGCCTTGGTCTCCCCAAAGTGGTAAGATAATAGGTGGAAGCCACTGCACCTGGCCATTTTTTTTTTTTTTTCTTTGGCAACAGGGTCTTGCTCTGTCATCTAGGCTGGAGTGCAGTGGCACTATCACGGCTTGCTGACTTGCTGCAGCCTTGGCTTCCTGGGCTCAAACAATCTTCCCATCTCAGCCTCTCAAGTAGCTGGAGCTACAGGTGTGCACCACTAAGCTCAATTATTTGCAGAGATGGGATTTTGCCATGTTGCCCAGGCTGGTCTCAAACTCCTGGGCTCAACCAATCCCTGCCCCCCGCCTTGGCCTCCCAATGTGCTGGGATTACGGGTGCATACCACTGTGCTTGGCCCAATCATTCTTTTTTAAATTAAGTTTTTACTTGCAAATAATTTCAAAGTACCAAAAAGTTGCAAAAAAAAAAAAAAAAAAAAAGTGGAGGTTGCAGTGAGCCCAGATTGTGCCACTGCATTCTATCCTGGGTAATAGAGCAAGACTGTCTTGAAAAAAAAAAGAAAGAAAATTTATCCAGATTCACCTTTTGTTATTAGCATTGTAAAACAAATGACTTTAACATTTGTGTACTGTGTATTTACCTATACATAGTTATCTTTCTGAACCCCTTGAGTATATATTACATATATCATGTCCCTGACCTCTAAATATTTCAGTGTATATTTCCTAAGATGGATATTTTACTATATAATCACAGTACAGTTATTAAGTATATAAATTCACATTGACATAATACTTTTATCTAAGCTGCCATCCATATTCCACTTTTGTCAGTTGACCTAATAATGTCCTTTATAGGACTATTTTCTTCCTTTATTACAAGATCCAGACTAGGATCAGATACTGCATTTAATTGTCATATATCTTTAGCATCCTTTAATCTAAAATGTATCCACTGCCTTTCTTTGCTTTTATGATACTGATCTTTTAAGTTATTGTTTTTTTTTTTTTTTTTTTTAACAGAGTCTTGCTGTGTCATCCAGGCTGGAGTGTAGTGGTATCATCTCGGCTCACTACAACCTGTCTCCCAGGTTCAAGCAATTCTCATTTTCAGCCTCCCAAGTAGCTGGGATTATATGCATATGCCACCATACCCGGCTAATTTTTATAATTTTAGCGGAGATGAGGTGTCGCTGTGTTGGTCAGCCTGGTCTTGAACTCCTGGCCTCAAGTGATTGCCTATCTTGGCCTCCCAAAGTGCTGGGATTACAGGAGCGAGCCACCATACCCAGCCAACATTTACATTTTGAAGAATATAATTTGTCCCTCCCTTTTCAACCTACTTTTGTAAAAAAAACAAAAACAAAAAACCAGTTCCTCATTTTGGGTTTGTTTGATGCTTCCACATAATTAGGTTATGGTAATACATTCACAGCCAGAATACCGCATAGGTGATGTGTCCTCCGAAGGGTATTACATCTGGAGGTACACAATGTTTGTCTGTCCTTTAATGCAATGTTAACTTTGATTATACCATCAAGATGTTGCTCAATTTTTTTCCTTCATAATTACAGTTTTTGTTTCCCTTGCAGCTAATAGTCTGTAGGAGACATTCTAAGACCATGCAAATATCCTGCTCCTGATTAAAAAAAAAAAAAAAATTCACCCTAGATTTAGTTCCCAAAGATGATTCTTACATGATTCAATCTTTATCATAATGGTGGCACAACAGTTTTTCAACTGCAGCACTCTCTCCAAATTTACTTCTTACATGCTACTACAGACAAGAGCCCATCCTTTCCCTATTTATATTTTCACTGTCACTATGGAATCATGAATTTCTGTTTTTCCCCCAATGGTTTATAATTCATTACTGAATTTAATTATTTTATCTCTCAAAGTATCCAAGATTTGGGCAGTGGTAGTACCCTCAACCTGGTTCTTATGTTTACATGACATACTCCCACCATTCTTCTGAGCACCTCCTTACTTTCTGGCATAACAAGATGTTCCAAGTTCATCTTGTATCTTCCCTGCCTCAGATCCAGAATCAGCAATTTCTCTGAGATGCCCTGTTCCTTTTAGTGAGGTATGAAATTAGAGGTCAAGATCTGGGTGGTGCATGTGGTCATTGTGCTAAGTTGTCTTTGCTTCTTATCCCTTTCAGCAAATAGAGCTAGAAAATACATGTATGTATAGAAACATATTCATATGTGTATATATACATACACATATACATGTGCCCATATACATAGATATACAAACATATATACATATTTTAGAAACCGTAAGTTCACACTAATACTTCCAAATTTGTCCCTATAGGTTCTTTCTTGCTTTCTCCCCTTCCATATTTGCATGTACCTTTTTCCATTTAAGAACCGAAGTTCCTTAAATATGAATGCATTTACAATTTCACTCAAGCCTGTTACATATCTAAAATAGTTTCAAAATTGCTTCATCCATACCATTACAATAAACAAAACTGATAAAAAAAAAAAAAAAAGAGAGATCAGGATTTGAACACACCACCTCTTGATCCTAATCTGCTCAAGACTAAAAGTATAGAGTCTTTAGTTTTATAGTCTTTAGATATATAAGTCAAATACTGTGTTCATAAGTTACATGGATAAATTCTTTATTTTTTCCCCTCATTATTATATTTTAATTTAAACCTAAATGAAGAGAAGTTAAATAACTGCTTTAAACTAGAGAAAAATGTATCAGTAACAATAATGGAAACTAACTTCTCCAGTGCAGCCATAATAGGGAGTTCCCAGCATAAAGACCATACTTCTCAGAGGAAACAAATCATCCAATGTTTTGATATTGGAGAAACGGGAGTCGAAAGCTCGGATGTCCTACATAAAATAAAAGTAAATCATCTTAGTCACAATTTCTATAGATTGCATATCAAGTTTTTTTCCTATGGGATTATGACTATGCTGTTTGCAAATGTCAACGTGAAGATTTTTCTACATAGTGCTAACAGCTAAAATTTGCTGACTGGTTATATGGCAGGCACTCTTCTATGTGCTTCACACATTTATTGAGTTCATTTAATCCTCATGACAAACCTCTGTGGCAGAGACCATTATTAGCCTCACTTTCTGGATGAGAAAACTGGGGCACAGAAAGGGGATGAATATTGTCCAAGGTCATGCAGCTAAGAAGTCAACTCAGGCAGCCAGTGCTCTTAGTCACTTAGTCCCTACACTGCACTATAACGCCCCAAATTATAGGATAACTACATACTTAAAACATGTTTTGTCCTCTTATCATATCTAAGATTATAAAGGCAAAAGTAAATGCCTTTTACATTTATGAGATTACTTAAGGCAAATATTTTTGAAGGATAAAAATATAAAATTCAAGGGTATAAGTTAATGCTGGGATTTTTTCTTTTAGAGACTAAGTCCTTAAAAAAAGCACAAAAAACAAGTTTCCTAACTACATATAGTGAGTGTCTGAGCATGTAATACTTCTTACAAATAAGTTATTTTGTAAATTATATTAAATGATAATCTCTATTATACATTGCTGAATTAGTCTACATATCATCTTCTCATTATACAGTGTATAATAGTGTACATTAAGATAGAATTGAAATTTGATATAGACTTACCTTGACAATAGTTTGATAAACAAAAGGAACAACTTGTTTTGACCACTGTTTCTCTAGACGAACTTCACCATTTTGATTTATTTGATATTTACGACCTGTGAGTAACTGAGCATACACAACTGCAGATGTTTCATTTATTATTATTCCTTTTCTTCTCAGGTAACTAAAAGAAAGAGTAAAAATGAAATATACATATGAATGAGTAGGCAGACATTCTAGGACAATAATCATTAACTACCATAAACTATCAACTCATAATCAAATGTGTAAATAAACTTTAAATAAATATGCCAGCAGTTCTAGGTACCTAACTTGAGACTTTTTGCATTATTTATTTCTCCAACTGTCTATGCGATTAAATAAGAACTCATAGAGCTATAAGAAATTCCTGTTCTCGAATCCACTAGGATCATTACAATTAAAAAACAGGGAAAAAATGAATTTCGGTGATGACATGGAGAAAGTGGAACATCTGTACATTGCTGGTGGGACTGTAAAATGGTGCAGCTGCTGTTGAAAACAGTTTGGCAGTTCCTCAAAAAGCAACATATAATTAATACATGAGCCAACAATTCTAAGCATTCCAACCCTCCCAGATTGGAAACAGGTACTCAAACAAATATTGATACACAAATGTTCATAGCACCACTACTCAAACAGCCAAAAAGTAAAATAATAGAAATGTTCATAAATGAACAAATGGATAAACAAATGGTGGCATATCCATACAATGGAATCTTATTCAGCCATAAAGAGGAATAAGCACTGACACATGCTACAATGTGTGTGAACTTCAAAAGCACGCTAAATGAAAGAAGCCTGATACAAAAGGCCATACACCATATGATTCCATTTATATGAAACATCTAGAATAGGTATATCCATGAAGACAGAAAATAGATTAGGGGCTGCCAGGAGTATGCGATGGCTTTCCCAATCTAAAGTAATTCAGACAGCCTCCTGGTTTTTTAGATAAAAGTTTACTGGAACACAGTCATCCATTCATTTCCTGTCTATGGCTGCTTTTGTGCTACATGGTAAAGTTGAGTAGTTGTGACAGACACTGTAAAGTCTACAAAGCCTAAAATATTTATTATCTGCCCTTTACAGAAGAAGTTTGCTGACCCTTGATCTAAATATATAATCATTCTTCATTTAAGGAATATTTTCTTATCTCCTTTCCATTTTCTCTTTCTAGAACTCCTATTAGATAGACATTAAAATTCTGACTATATTATTTTCATCTCTTTGTGCTTTTGTACTGCTTACTGAAGGAATTCCTAAGGTTGATCATTTAGCTCACGGATTCAATTTTTAGTATGCCCATATTACCACTCAGTCCATACACCAAGCTCACTTTACCAATCACACTTTGAAAGTTTTATGTTTATACAAATATATTTCATAAAAAAGTATATAATACAGACTATATTTTAAAATAGTATATAATATAGTATATAATTATACAACATATTATATATTTTTTCATATCAGCTTATACTTTAATGATGTTGTCTATACCAAAGTTGGTCTGAAAAAAGCCAAGTCACTTTAGCCAGAAACAAGTTTTCCAACAAATTTCTGACACACACTATTTTCTAAAAATGTATTAGAATTTTTTTTCTACCACTTTTACTTAAAAGTCATTTAGGCAGTAATCTTGATATCAATAGCTGACCAAGACATTTCAAGAAATCTTTATCTTGTAATTATGGGCCAGTATTTCTCATGAAAGTAGATGCAATAATCTTAAACTTTAATGGATAAAATCCAATTATGTATAAAATAATAATATATCATAAATAAATGGGATTTATTTCAGAAATTTAGGGGTAGATTAATATTGGAAATTCAATCAATGTAATTCATCAGATTAACAGGACAAAAATAATATAATCAGTTTGACAGCTGTGGAAAAAACATTTTACAAATCAGCACCAATTAATGATAAAAACTCTTAATCAGAAAAGAAGGAAATTTCCTTAATCTGATAAAGAACAGTAATTAGAAACAAGCCACAGTGACAATTCTATTTAAAGATAAATTACTTAGTTTTCCCCTGAAATTGAGAATGACACAATAAGCCAGTAAAAAAAACTATAAAGCAATGAGAAAAAGATAATCAACCCAAGTTTAAAAAGGGCAAAAGACTTGAACAGGCATTTCACAAAAGAGCATGCATATTCAAATGGCCAACAAACAGGAAAGGATGTTCAATTTTATTAGTCATCAGGGAAATGCAAATTAAAGCAAAATGAGATATTACTACTATACTAAAATGGCTAAAATGAAAAAGCAATAGTAAGTACTTATGAAAACAGAAATCAACAAAAGTTCTTATAAACTGCTGGTACAGTGTAAACTGCTGGTAGACTGTAAACTGCTGGTAGAGTGTAAACTGATACAAACAGTTTGCAAACCTTTTTGGTAGTATCTGTTAAAGTTGAACGTAGGCATATGCTGTGAAGTAGTAATTCTACTCTTAGATATATACCCAAAAGGAATGCATACATACACGTTCACCAAAAGCCCCAAATGAGAAACAACTCAAATGTTCATCCACTGTAGAATAGAAAAATTGTGCTGTATTCATACAATGTAATAGTATCATTAGTGAAAATGAACAAACTATGATTACATGTAACAATATGGATATAAGACTCACAATACTGACCCAAAGAAATCAGGCTCAAGAAGAATACACTCTGTATGAATGAACTTATACTGCATAAAGTTCAAAAATAGAAAATACAAATGTATGTGGTTATAAGTCAAAATAGTTATCCTCGTCACTGGGGGTGGGGAGGGAGCAGCAGATGGTAATGGATAAAAGGGTATGTAGGGAGACTCCTTGAAACTATTGCTATGGAGTAAAAGATGAAATGCTTCTGATTACTGTAAATAGAAAATTGCATGAAGGATTGTGTAAAGACAATGCCAGGTTGGACTGCCAGAATGAGCCAACAGTGCATGATGTGCTTCCCCGTGCAGAGAGCCTATGAATGGACGTGCAGTCAGGGAGGTTTCACATCACCAAGATTCCTATTCCAGAAAAGCAGATGTTCATAGCTCTGGGAATGGAATGCGACCCTCGTGAAGAGCCTATAAACAGATGCATGGGGGGGGCGCCTGTCCATATGGATAAGATAAACGCCCTCATCTTGCCACGGCTCTTCTAGGCCTCTTTAGAGTTAAGGCATACTCCCTTCTGAGAAATTCTGGTCTAACCGGTTGTCTAACTTCATGCCCTATTTCTATGAATTGTTTGTAACCAGCTTTTGCTGTAACTACTACTGCTGATTAATATCTTGCTAATCATAGGTTATGGAAAGACTGTGTTCCTGTTTTAAGGCTCTTGTTAGAAATTACTGACGCACACACTATATTGTAAATTCTTAACTCTGTATACTGTACTTCTGTGTACAGATGTTATGTTAAAGAATTACTTCATCCCCATGTGACCATCTCACCTCATAATCGAATGACCCTAAATCCCTCACTAACCTACCCCCACCCTCACTAAACTTAATAATAAATGCTGGCATATCCAGTGCATTGTTGGCACCATGGGACCAGAAGGCGGTGACCCCCCTGGACCCAGCTTTCACTATCTTGTGTGTGTCTATTATTTCTCGACCTGCTGATCTGCCTGGGAATAAAGAGAGAACCCTGTTGCATTGTGGGCTGCTGGCCAGATCCCACAATAAGGGTGTACAAGGGACTTCCTTGGATTATGGCAATTTTCCTGTTATTGTTTCTTGACTTGTATTCTTGTTCCACATATGAAAATTCATCAAATATACTTATGATTTCCCTTATGATTAATATACTTATAATTTGTACATATTTTTTGTTCCATATGTATACAGCCATACTTTGGGAGACATTTCAGGTTCAGTTCCCGACCACCAAAATAAAGTGAGTCACATGAATTTTTTTGTTTCCCAATACATACAAAAGTTATGTTCACACTGAGTCTATTAAGTGTATAACAGCATTATGTCTTTAAAAAATTGTATATATCTACTATGGTTTGGATATAGTTTGTTTGGTCCTACCAAGTCTCAAGTTGAAATCCAATCCCCAGTGGTGGAGATGGAGCCTGGTGGGAGATGTCTGGGTCATGGGGTGGATCCCTCATAAATGGCTTGCTGCTGTCTTCCTTGTAATGAGGAGGATACGGGGGTTTATCACTCTACTAGTTCCCATGAGAACTGAGGTTAAAAAGAACCTGGCATCTCCCTCCCTACTTGTCTCTTGCTTCTTTTTCTTGCCATGTGATCTGTACACGTCTGCTCCTCTTTGTCTTCTGCTATGAGTGGAAGCTTCCTAAGGCCCTCACCAGAAGTATATTCTGATGCCATACTTCTTGTGCAGTCTGCAGAACTTTGAGTCAAACATACCTCTTTTCTTTATGAACTACCCAGTCTCAGACTAGGCTAGGACAATACTCTCATTTTCAACTACAGTTGACACTTGAAAAACATAGGTTTGAACAACATAGGTCCACTTACTTGCAGATTTTCTTCCGCCTCTAACACCTCCAAGACAGCAGATGAATCCCCCCTCTGCCTACTCAACATGAAGACAAGGATGAAAACTGTTATGATCAACCACTACCACTTAATGAATAGTAAATATATTCTCTCTTCTTTATGATCTTCTTAATAACATTTTCTTCTATCTTTATTGCAAGAACACACTATATAATACATATACAAAATATGCGTTATCAACTACTTATGTTATCGATAAGGCTTCTGATGAACAGTAGGCTTTTAGTAGTTAAGTTTTTGGGAGTCAAAAGTTGTATATGAATTTTTTTTACTGTATTGGGGGTCAGCATCCCTACCTCCCACACTGTTCAAGGATCAACTGTACTTTATTGCTCAAAAATGCTAACAGTAGGCTATTAGTAGTTAAGTTTTTGCTAGTGGAGGGTCTCACCTTGATGTTGATGGCTGTTGATTAGTCAGGGCAGTGGCTGATGAAGGTTGGGATGGCTGAGGCAATTTTTGAAAATAAGACAATAATAAAGTTTGTTGGATCAGCTGACTTCTTCATGAAAGATTTCTCTGTAGAATGCAATGCCATTTTATAGCATTTTACCCACAAGAGAAGTTATTTCCAACTTGGAGTCAATGCTCTCAAAGTCTGCCATTG